AATTTTTTCAGCCTATGTACTGTTTCTGAGAAGATCGATTTTCAATATTAATTTATAATAAGCAAAAGTGGTATTCAATAAAAATTTATTACAGTTATTGTTTAAAATTTTATTTATTATAATTTTAATTTTAAACTTTTATTACAGTTATTGTTTTCCATTTTTGGTTTCATAATATTTTATGAAATATATTCAATAAATTTTGTTCTTTCAATTTATTATTTATCAATAATTTATTATTTATCAATTTATTATTTATCAATAATTTATTATTTATCAATGTATTATTTATCAATAATTCATTATTTATCAATTTATTATTTATCAATCATTTTTATCAATTATTTTTCAAACATAAATAAAAATCATTACTAATCAGAAAGTGCATAATTTCCTGTTCAACATTGTATATGACATTATTTACTTGTCAATTAAAGCATACATTTCGATGCCGCAGATTTAAAAACTTATAAACACATTTAATTAAGGAAGAAACATTTCTACTATAATAAATTTTTCTTTTCCTTCAGGTGTTGGGTCCCATTTCAGGGTGTCACGTGAATCCAGCTGTGTCAATTGGCCTTCTTGTTAGTGGAAATTGCAGTTTCTTAAAAACGTTGTGTTACGTAGTTTGTCAATGCTGTGGGGCAATCGCGGGTTCAGCTGTTTTAAAGGTAAAACCACATTTTTTTAGTTATTATCGAACATATTTAACACGTTGAATACCACACGATTTTAAGGTGCAGAATACGCGAAAAGGAAAAAATACAATATTAAACTATTTAATTTAACTGCGTTGTTATTATCGCAGGCTCATTTTGCTGAATGTCAACGTATTATGTAGCGTTATTTACAATATAGAAATGTTTTCAAATAATCATCGTTTAATTAAGGAAATTGCAGTAATCGAATTTGGGCGGGGGTCACCGGTGATCCCCATGGCATCCAACGTGTTAAAAAATATGAAACTGAACTCGATTTACATACATGTTCAAATTACTTTTTGTTTTATTGCTTATCAACTGACAGAAGTTGTATATTCATTGAGATGAAAATTTATTTAAAATATATAATCTTAAAAGTATTCATTAAAAATGTGGATAAAGTGTATTATAGTTTACAGAAAAAGAAATAAAAATATGTTTATTGATTGTTAGTTTTGGATTCTTAACAACTTTCTTGTAGATTATAGAAATCGCAAGAAAAATGTCATTGTCATTTTTATAGTTCTTTTAACGCATTTCGCAAAACATTGATTCTATCATTTTTGTACGACACCATATTTGTTTAATTTTATTTAATACCATAAAATCTTTAAATAATATTAATATGAAATTTTTATTATAAAAAGTTATCACACATTGGAAATACAATAAAAATTTGATGAAATCTTCATAAAGGTTTCTATTTCATTGTTTCTGTGCAAGCTAATATACAATAATATAAATGAATATGAGTAATCGTTTCTCTAATCTATAAAATAATAACATGTTTCTATATAATTATCTTAAGTCATAATAGGAACTGAAACCGAATATTAATCAAGGTTTTCTCGGTATATTTCTTCCATTTTTTCCTCTTCAGTTATTAGAGTGCATTTTTCCATTATCGTCAGTTAATTAATATGTACAGCAAGGTCAAGGATTTACCGTATATTTAGTAACACCGGTTACGTCGGGAATCAACAAGAGTGAAGCAAATTAAATAGGCGAAATGTGTGGTCTACTATCTACTTATCGTATAGTATTATTAGTGCTTTATGAGTGTATTAATTTCAAACATGTCAGGATCAAGTGAATTGCATCATTAAAAAGTTATAAAGTGTTGTCCATTTAGAAAATGATAATGGGAAGCTTTTACGTGCGTGAAAAGCAAAAAATAGACAAGCACGTGAGCTACATATTTTACAATCAAGATGAGTACTAGAAGTGGAAATAATATTTTCGAGTCACGTGTATAACATACATTTAGAAATTAAACATAGTATAGAGTATTAAAATTAATTAGATCTAAAGATTCATCTACAATTTTCAATGGAAATATTAAACAATAACGTGCTAAATACGCTACAATATTGTAAATATTTATTTCATGGAAATTCATTTCATTGATAACAATCAATGTAAAAGATGAAAAGCGCCGAAGTAAAGAAAATCATAGTTTATCAATTTCTTTGCAAATATATCGATAATTATCAAAGTCGCCTACATTTAGAAAAGTTTAACTCACTGCTTCACCCATTTTCATCATCAACGTATACAATATATGCTTTTAGATTGCTCAAATTGTCAATCAATATTACCGTATGATAGTATTATAATTTATGTTAAGTATAATAACGTTATAAATTGGCATTTTATTTGCGTCGATCATATTTCAGAACTAATTTTATGAGTAAACTATTGCATAAGTTACTGATTTTGATAATACAGTTTTAAATCGTCGTAAACATTCACTAATTTAGTAATTAATACATTATTAGTTGAAACAAGTTATTTGTATTTTTTTTATATAAGTAAAAATACTTTAAATAAATGCACATAAATTATTATTACAGAAATCTATAATATTGAATTCTTTAATATTATTTTAACAATTATCCCATTATTTATTCCCACAGGTACTAATTCCAGGAGCACCTACCCAAGGTTTAGGTGCTACAAACCTTGCTCCATCAGTCACTGACAGCCAAGGTATTTTCATGGAAGCCATCGTCACGTTCCTTTTGGTTTTGGTTGTCCATGCAGTGACCGATCCAAAGAGGACAGACACGAAAGGGTGGGCACCTATGGCAATCGGGTTGACTATCACCGTGGCACACATGGCAGCTGTACCCGTAACAGGAAGTAGTATGAATCCTGCCAGAACACTTGGTCCTTCGGTGATACTGGGCGACTGGAAAAACTTGTGGATTTACTGGATCGGGCCTATTCTGGGAGCCTGCGTAGCTGGTATACTGTACAAGCTGGCATTTAAACGTAAAAAGGAAGACGACGAAGCATCCTATGATTTCTGAGGATAAAGACATTTATCTTCTTCTAATCGCGAGAAACAAAAACGAAGAATTATTAAATACCGGAAGAAGTTCGTGCAGATCCTTCAATCAAAATTTGAACTCAGAGATTGTTCTTGTAAAGTAATTCTATTTTATTTGATACATAATTAAATACAACTTGCTGCTAATACCAATTTCATTCATTAAACTAGTGAAAAATTGAACGAAATCGAACCTCAATTCATTGCTAACAAAAAAACCGCACGAACTTTTGCCTGTGCCTAATATTACGAGGAAAATTTCTGAGATTTATTTTCAGTAGTAAAATGTATATCGTTCAATTTGACACAGAAATTAGAATTGATACGTGATTTTGAATGTAGAAATGACATTGGACAAAATATGGAGATTTAATTTATTGTTCTATATTTACAATTTGAATAATTGTTCGCAGGGATTTTTATACCTTTCACTTACTTGTTTTCATAAAAAATGATCTTAATAAGCGATACACCGTATTTCAGTATCGTGATTTGCAAGTTTCGTGATGAGAAATCGTTTCTCTTCGTAATTGGAAAAAGGAGGAAAGAATTTTTATGTGACACATAAATGGAACAATATCTGATCTACTATTTGTTAATTTCTTTTTTTATTTATTCTATAGACGAACACTAATGCGTACTTACTATGAACAATTAGAAATAAATGTGTACGAATTTATAAAAGAATTTTTCTATAAAGTAGTTTAGAAAAGCAGTTCGTTGAAGAACAAAGTAGGTCTTTTTTATTAATATATAATATAATCCTATCCGTGTTTATTGTATGTCTGTTAATAACATCTCGATACAAAATCCATGTTGAATTCGTCACGATATTTTCATTAATAACATTTAATTATCTAAGTAAAACTTTTAGCTTAAACACTCTTGAAATTTTCGATATTTACATCTTCCTGCGTTTCTCCGCATAATTTTATATATTTTTTAACGTACAATTAACATTTTTGAGAGTGAAACGTCCTCGTGTACACATACATACTAGAACGATGATCGACTTTAGAAAATTTAATTCTACAATTTTGTATTTTCTTCATAAGAAATACTGCATTTTATAACTGTATTTTCTATATAGTTTAAGCTTTGTATATATTGTACTTAAAGTAGCTTATAAGATTTCTAAACAAAATATCACGTCTAAATCTGTTTGTAACTGGTGTCACCTTAATTGTACATAAAGCATAATTCCCTTTTATTACTTATCTTTTATTGTCAATCATTACTCTAATTATAGAACACTCCTCTGCGTTGTAGTTGGAATTTTATTTACATCGGTCATAATATTCCAGAAATAATGTCATCAGTAGACTATTGCATAAACTACTGAATTTCATAATAAAGTCTTAGATCATATTAAATATTAACTAACTCAGTAATTAATACATTATTAGTGGAAACAAGTTACTTCTATTAGTTGGATATAAGCAAAAGTACTTTGAATAAATGCACATAAATCATTATTACAGAAACGTGTCGTATGTGGTTTGCAATACACATTAGATACTATAAAAAAATGTAATCTACTATTCAAAGATTTTTCACTAAGCGGAATTCCTATGGAAAATTGAAAATTAATTTATTTTTTAATTTCTGTTAAAAAGGATTTATTACCAAAGTTTATCTACAAAATCTAAATATTTTAATCTAAATCATTTGATCATGATTCACTGTCCCCTTATCTTATTTCCAACCACTTAGAGCTTTGTTCAATCGTTCAAGAGGAGTGTTCAACTATTTGGCCGTTTCCTCGTGTAAGTCAGTAATCCAGCATTCTGACTATCTTGATTCTTACGCGACAATGAATTTGTTCCGCGTAAAAAGGAAAATTAATTTGCAGAACACAGTGGACCCGGTACAATTACTTGTCAGTCATTACACATGCTTCCGTCTTATTTTCTTGTTTTACCACAGAGCTATAGCTCTTATGGCGACAGAAATAGCAGAGAACAAAAATAGACGAACGTAGATTTTAGGAGAGTTGACGATGCCAGTAGCTTCGAGCGCTGCGATACGTGTAGTTTCGCAGCGTGGACCAACAAAGTGTCATGCACGCTTTCCTGCAAGTTTGGTTACAAATAAATTAACCAATTGATCTATTTCGTTAACGTAAAGGAACACTACATACTCACCGATATTCTAGTGATTCAATCTAAAAAAGAAGGGAATTTTCGAGAACTTTTTCCTATGTTTGATGTTGCTGGACAATTAGTAAACACAGAAGAAATCGAAAGAAATTTTCGGTAGAAGTTATAGAGTTAGTAGTTAGTAGTTGAACTGGAGTATCGCGAGCATTGAAACCTGTTTGAATTGATTGTAAAGCTACGATCGAGGAGAAAATTCACTGAAAACACTCGGAAGAATGTTGAACCAATCGGAGAACATAATAAGCAAATACTTCAGCTCTAGCTTCTGGGAGCTGAAGAACGCGATCAGTCCGCCGGATATGAAAAAGTTTGCAGCCTTGAAGAATAATTCGGAAAGAATTGATTTCATACTGAAGTATCCGGAGATTTATAACTTATCCTTAGAGGTAGACAATCAGGTGCTGAAGAACAGCGAGAAAGCTCGTCAACTCAAGGACCTCGGTAACAAATACTTTGGCCGCGGCGAATTCCGAAAGGCTCTGGAATTATACTCGAACGCTGTTCTGCTGGCACCTCAGGAAGGTAATTAATGATTCTTGATGCTATCTGTTGCATTTATTTAACATTATTAAAGCGTTACCGCTGCCCACGATACATTTGTTTCGAGCTAATTTATTGCTTGGCAATAAACGGCATACTTTCCACGAATTACACCGCCCGGATTTTATTAAATCAATTTTATAATAAGATTACGATTCTGTTGTTATAATCAGGTTAATTACGTTATTATAATTGGGAGGAAACGTATATTTTTTAATACAACATATATGAATGTACTTTAAACCTACTTTTATAAATTGTAAATTAATACATACAGCTGTAAGAAAATAATGAAAATTAGGATGAATAATCTCTGTTTATTAAATTATTGCATATTACTTTATGTACTTTTTATCGAAGTAACATTTTACTGCGTTAATGAAAAATTTGATGTGAGAAACTAATTATTTAATGAAAAATGAAGTATAATGGTCGTCGTAATATAATAATTACTATAAGATTATTGTAAAATTGTTTGCAATGTAGGAATTAAACGAAATCGACACACCGTTATTGCTTTGTTAAATGAAGGGCATACGATACAGTATTACTAAAAATATTACTGATGTACTAACCGAAGACGAGAAATAATAAATTATATTATTTCTTATCTTACTTTCTTTCATAAATTTTGTTCTTTTAAATGATCCAAAACTTTAAAGTGATAATATAGGAATAATTTAACCCTTCTGTTATAAAATTATTTCATAGTGTCTGAATGTCTTTAAAAATTCTGCAAAAGTTAAATTCTGTGTATCAAAATAATAAATTCTTCCGCATGTATTCTGATGAGAATTCAAACATACCACGCACCTCTAGATATACATTTATCTATAACAAAAATAGTAAACTCAAAATATCTTAAATTACCGATTTAAAGAAAAATGTTTAAATTTCTGTTTATACTATATAAATGTTTCACTATTATTCAATAAATTTATTACCATATTTTCACTAATAAATTGTTAACGTTTTTCTGCTGATAAAAATGTTTAAATTTCCTAATAAAACATAATAACATGTATTAAACAAATTCTTATAAATAAAATTAATTGGATACAGATTAGTTTTATTCAGCTAAGAAGATTCCAATAAAACGATTTATAGTTTGTACAATAATTAAAAGTATTAAATTTAATTTTAACCAATGAATATTTTTTAAAAAGCTCTTAACCATTAACACTAGAACTACCGTATCTGTCAAAATGACGGGTTTTAGTTTTCTTGTTTTGCAATTATTGCTATTTTAAAAGTATTCAATATCCGAAATAATATTGAAAATAAATAGTTTCACCTAAATGCTATAACGAATATCTGGAGAAATCGCACAAAATGTATTGTTACAATCTTTATAAGGATTACACATTAACCATAATAAACGTTCAACAGTTCTAGTGTTAAAAAAGATAAATAAGTTGTCAATGTAATTCGATAGTAAAACACATGCGATTAGAATTGTACTATGACTGAATAAACTTGAAACAAACGAAAATATATGTCCAAAGCAAATATTTATTAAATAATTTATTAAATAAATAAATATTTGTTAAATAAAACTCTGTTTCTCAGAATCAGGTGTCATGCTAGCAAATCGCTCAGCGACACTTTATCATCTAGAACAATACAATTACGCTTTGTCTGATACTGAAGAAGCTATAAGAGTTGGTTATCCAAAAGAATTGTTTTACAAAGTCGAAGAAAGACGAGCCAGATGTTTGCTTGCTTTGAAAAGGCATGGTGAAGCTGTACAATCTTTTCAAAGCGCTCTAAGAGCACTGGACGATGCAAAATTGCCTTCAGAAAAGAAACAAAAGCTCCAAGCGGACATCAGAGTTATGCTTGTTGTGATGGAAAAGGGCAATCAAGCTGCGAAAACAAACACAAAAGTGACACAGAAACGACAAAAGCATAACGAAACTAAGAAACAAATTCCAAAGATACAGAATTTCAATCCTCTGTTTCCCGCGTGTAGCAAAGCAGTTGAAATTAGAGACGAAGGTGGTGACGTGGGAAGACATGCTGTTGCTACTAAGCATATAGAACCTGGTGAAATACTAGTAGTAGAAAAACCACATTGCGCGTTGCCATTGGCTGAATACAGGTATAACATTTTAAAAATGTTTAATTCCAATTTAAAGCCATACAAGATTAAATATTAATATACTTATAGGTTTATGCAAAAATCTACAAGTTGATATTCATACATTTCACGATCGAGTTCCTTAAGTTCTTCACGTAATTTATTGTTACTTACGAATATTCTAACTGAACATACGAATATCTATGAAATTTTAAATATCGAAAAAAATGTTGTAAAATTATTCCCATGTTAACAGAATTTTGGAAATAAAGTAATTTATATATTTTTAATATTATTTCAGGCTTACTCACTGTCACTTTTGTTTATCAAGAATATTTGCACCGATACCAGCTGCATGTAATGTATGCAGCTGCGTAGCATATTGCAGTATCCGTTGTAGAAACAAGGATGCAAAAGTGCATCGGAATGAATGCGTATTATTGCCCACATTGTGGGTTTCGAACACCTCTATAACATGCTTCCTAGCCTTAAGAACTATCACGCAACAACCTTATGAACATCTGCTTAAACTTAAGGATAAAGTGGAAGCTTGCAAAGGTAAATTATATGTTTCGGCAGAGCAGCCTTATCGAAGACAAGATATTGAAGCATTCTGTTCATTGGGTAAATAAATAATAATTAATATACTTTTATACTTATACATACCTATAAATGCAAAGCAAACTCAATTTCACAGAAGACATTAAACCACCTTAGTTCTGTCCAATCTTCTATTTTACTTTAAATTAACTGCTAATATATAAATCAAATTTACAATTAAATCTATATGTTATATCTATATAAATGTAAATTTACATAAATATTTACAATTTAATAATTAATCACAACATTTGTATTAGAATTGAAGAAATAGTCGTTTTTATAAAGAGAATGATATAATAACTATGTTTCTAGTTATAGAAAATTCCTTTTATTAATATGAAAAACGTATTTCATATAGTATCTCACGAAGAAGAAAGAACCACAGACGATCTCCTTCATAGAACCTACATAGCTTTATGGCTTCTCAGACTTTTAAAAAAGGGGCCATACTTCCCAGAGGATGTTAAAACTCCAGACACTGCAGGAACAAAACTTTCCGAAAGTGAATTATACATAGGTGGTTTACTTTTAAACAGCTTAATGATATTGCAATTCAATACTCACGAGGTAAATTATATAATTATCGTGAATATTAACGAGAAAATATTAAAAAAGAAAAAAAATTAAAAGATTAAAATTAAAGTACTCGAAAGAGTAGATAATAAATACAACGATAAGTATAACGAATATCAATTTTACAGTAAAACATTTTCAAATATAATATTTCAAATTTATCATTTTCTCATGGATTTTCAGATATCAGAATTAACAACGTCGAAAAATAATAAAAGTTTGTCGAAAGCTAAAAGCATGTTTATTGGTGGCGGCTTGTATCCCTCAGTGTCATTGTTTAACCACTCATGCAACCCTGGTATTATCAGGTAATGATTCTAATAATTTAAAAAGTTAAATCCCACGATTAAAGTTAGATAAAAATTTCCATAAACATTAAGAAATAAAAAAAAATAATATAAAGTAGATAGATATACAATAGTGAAGTTTATTAAAGAATAATTAAGGAATCAACAAATAAAAGATATTAATGTTTAAAATGAAAATTAAAATTTGGAAGAAAGTTTTTTGCATCTTATAATTATTTATATCTTCGATCACATACAGATATTTTATCGGCACTACGATGGTCGTGCGAGCTATTCGCTCAATATCACCGGGAGAAGAAATCTCTGAAAATTATGGCCCAATATTTACAAGAACTCCTGAAGCTGAAAGAAAAAAGATCCTAAAATGGCAATATTGGTTTGATTGCGAGTGTGAAGCATGCACGGAACACTGGCCACTTCTGGATGATATCGATCCAACAATTCTAAGGTATCATTGTCTATAACAGAAATTAATTCAACAAGCTATAACAAAGATAAACATGAACAAAAAAAACAGTGGAAAGGTTTATAAATATGACCAAACATACAATTAATATAATATTTTCTTTCTTTATTTAGTCAGTAAAATCATTTTCAATGAGAATAAAATATTTAAATATCATGGAATGTTCAATTACGATATAATTTCAATGGGCGTACTGAATTATAGAAGTTATTACTAAAATTCTTCTTCTACCACCGAATATTGTTACAAGTTGAAATAACAATATAACGTGATAACTTTTAGAAAACGCGATGGCTCTAAAAGTATGCAGTGATATGAACAAATTTTTTGAGTAATGTTTATCATTTCATATATATATTTTATATACGTACATATAAATACATCGTACGTATACAAGCGGATTAAAAATTATACCATTTGACTAGTCACAAGTATATAAACTAGTATATAAATCACTGCACACATTTTGTGGCCTTCAGCGATAACAACACAGTGCTCTATCTACTTACTAAACGCATAAAGTGGTATTTAAAATATTTGGCTCTAAAATTTATTTAATTATTCACTTATAAAATTTAATTTATTCATACAGGTTCAAGTGCGACAGTGGACTTGCATGCAAAAATGTTTTACCAGTAAATACAAATACAAACGAGTTTATAATCAAGTGCTCTAAATGTGGCAAAAACACAAATATCTTAAAAGGATTGAAAGCCTTACAGGACACTGATGCGCTTTTTAAGATGGCGTTGAAAAGATTAAATGAAGGGAACCACGCAGATGCATTAGAAACTTATTTAAAAATTTTAAAACTTCTCGATGAGAGACTCGCTTTACCTATAAAAGACTATCATATTTGCCAGCAAGGTGCTCGGTTATGTATGCTTTCTTTAGGAAATTCTGCTTACATTTAAAACATCATTTAAGTATCAACTAGTAAGGACCATACTGAAGTGAGAACTTCCTGTTCAACAAATACATGTTATGTATTTCTCAGCGTTCCATTTATGCACACACTTATGTCAGTTTTCCACTTTGGAATGGTCCGCAATAGAACCTATAATCCTTAAGAACTCGTATGTCCTAAACCTTTGTAATGTTAAATAAGTACGCATAATCAGGCAACAGTAAGGGAATGATAAATGAAAAAGACTGATGCGTCACTACTTTAATAAATTTATTACTAAGATAGTAAATTGCTATTTTTCAATAGGAAAGCCAAAAAATAATACGATACACTTTTATTTTAGAGTCTTAGATTCGTAAGAGTACAAAATAATTAATACAACATAAAACGACCGTCTTCTGCTTCCGTAACTTTTCCACACCAAAAAACGTCTTTGTCCCGAATCTGCATCAATCTTCTCCCGTCAGTTAAGCACTCACCGTTATGTTGATCATCGTTAATTATTCTCAATTGTAACCGAATCTCTCTTATCGCACTCGTACACTTTAAAGCAATGAGCACATTTCGTAAGAGATACAAAACACTCGCTAACTCGCGTCACGAAAAGGAATCTTATATGCGTGTATATTGCATCTATGTGTAGGTACGCGTACGTCGAACGTGATTGTGTAAATGTGTTTATACGCGCACAAATGTGTGTACCGGTGGTTTCATAATAATAATAATAATAATAATAATAATAATAATAATAATATTAATAATAATAATAATCTTATAATATTACGCACGTAGGTGACATTTTATGCGTGTACAAAATTAACAGATTAAATTGTAAATGTTGCGTACGTGTTCGTTTTCACATTTTATGAAATGTTTTACTCATTATCATTGCTTCGTCCGAGTATACACGCGTGGTAACGATTATTTTTTGTGTTTTTCTTTATGTACATATAAAATTGGTTTTCTTTTGTCTTCCATCCAGCACATTTAGTCGGTCCATTCTCTCGAACACTTTTAGCACCTAACTGCAAGTAAATAGAGAATACACTTAGATAAACATTCATTTGATTCTCGGTTTTTAATGTCACTACCCCGTTGCTTTACACTGCGACCCGAAATTTTAATAGTAGATGAATTCCATAAAGAACAGGTCCCGACATAGCTATTTAAATCTATCAATATCACAGGTCGATGTTCACAGTTTAAAAGAAAAAGAAAAAGAATAACTGCTTTTTTCATTCTTTTCAACGATCTTACACCGCATGACGAAGAGAATTTCATTCTTGTTGAGCTATACAAAAGTAATGCGACGGCTTTCTTTCTGTTATTCTGTTCAGGCAAAATCTAGTTTTTGTTTCCGGAATACTTCGGTTCGTTAATTAAGTATATCAATACCGTCTGTCACGGGAATCCGAACGAGAACGACGATCTCGGCTACGGCTGCGAGTCAGTGATCTCCTGCGAGGGCTACGGGATCTTGACCTAAAATATTAAAAGCAAATTTTATACCACTTTTACTGATATTACAAAACGGTTCATTAATGTACAACTCCCCACTTCGTCTCAAAATTTCTGAATGAAATTCCATGTTAGTGAACTTTAATATTGTTTTGCCTATTTAGTGGAAATACTGTATAAACTCGAATAAAAAAAAAGAAAAAGATGCAATGTCAAGTACATTATAAAGTGAAACATGAGACGAAACAGAACGTCGCACGTTAAACACATAGGTACAAAAATGATCGCAAGGCAATCATAATAGAATTAGGACAGGCTAATTCCTATTTGCCTAAGGGGTGATAAAACTAGTTAGACACAATAATTAATACAAAATGACATCTCACCAATAATGAGAAACCAATAAACGAAAATAGGATTAATTTGGTTAAATTAAATCTTTACAATTAACCGTTCAATATATGTATATGTATATATATATATGTATATATACCACTATATAGGCCATATATAAATATATATTAATAAATACATATTATGTCTCAAGCGACAGTTCCCTGGTCCAATACATAAAATCATTCATTACATATCAATCTTTCATATTAAATGTTTTACATTCCTCTCAACGATCTGTTGAATAAACATAATGCTACTTCGATGAAACGTTGTTATTGGGCCCCAGAGAACGTGAC